GATAATAACAGCTTCATTAGGTGCCTCATGGTTGTCACTAGTATAATTCAGGGATAACGTATTTAGACAAAGAAAATGGACATTTGTTAGGCAGTTGAACAGCTGTGAAAGCTTGTTGGAGGACGTTATTATAGGGGACAAGCCTTTTGCTACACCCAAATGAGCTCATCTTGGAACTGTAGACCCAGCTTCACTCTGCTAGCAGCTGTTGGGAAAGAGAAGCACTTCCACTGTTGAACTGCTGAATTCCCCAGTGGTGTGACTGCCACAACTGATTCAGATCTTTCTGAACTGTTCCCTTTTTTTTGTCCATGTACTCTTCGTTTTCTCTGTAACGCAACAGCATCTTATTTAGGAAAGAGGCACACAGATTCTCACTTCTAGTCTTTCCTTCATTTCTGTATCTTGAATACTATGTTACTTTTTAGGTATTCATGTAAGAAAAGGCCTATCCCTTATCTTGCTAGGTAGTAATGTACTTAGCATAGTTTTAGGCTATGGAGAGACTGTAGTTGGATGGCAGTCCAATGACAGTGGGTGATAAATTCTTGTTTGAGTAGGAAGACAAGTGCACAGTGATGTCAGAGATGCTCTTGAATTATGGCCGACTTTTTTTTTGGCAGTTATGATATTTCTCCGGGCAAAAAACAGATTGGAGATATCTTTTTGTCTTCATTGTATATTATACTCTCTGGGATTTTTCTGTTTTACTTTCCCTCATGGTAGAAGCTCAACTTCAGGAAAATAACGTACAGAGTTAAGCATTTTGTGTTTTCACTGGACTTAAAGAAATGCTACATTCAGGCTCTGAATTAGCACTTTGTTCTGGATCTTAAAAAAGTGACAATAACTGACTTAGTGGTTTGAAATTGTTTTTTAAACATCGAGAGACATTATTCTGAATTGGACTATTTATATATATTTATTCAACAAATACACACTGACCGCCCCTTCTCTATCTGGCACTGTTCTAGAAGTTGAGAGCAATAGTGGTGAATAACACAAAATGCCTGTCATATGGAGGTTATTGTTATTTTGGGGGCCTGAGGGAAAGGGAAAAGTACAGAACAGTAAATAAACAAATAATAAGATTTTTTTCAGATAGTAAATACAAAAAGAAAGTAAGTATGAAGATTATGGCAGATAGTAAGCATACAAAAGAAAGATAAAGTAGGTATAATCAGGGCGGTCCCAGCAAGGAACGAGAGTGTACTTAAATTAGGATAATTATGAGAAGAGTTTAATAAAATTTCTATTTACAAAGATTTGGGCAAGGTAAGGAAACCTCCTAAATTAATGCAGTACTTTGAGGCTGGGAACAGAGGTGAGCCCAGAAGTGGAGGGCCCCAGTCACCCCCGGGATGGAGGGGGCCCCGGAGCAAGGGCGGCCGTGCTGGTGCTCCGACCTTCAGTGGGGCTCCTGTAGGGGGAGCACTGGGGAAGTAGGTTGCTAGCCTCATGGCCTAACCCAGGTAGTCACATGGTGAGAGAGCTGGGTAACGAAATCTGCACAGGTCAGCTTTCTGGGGCACACAGCAGGCGGGAGAAAAGTGGACAGCTTGGATGTAGAGGGGCAAGGAGGATATCTAGCCCCAGGGGGAAATGGAACTTTGTAAGGAATATACAATGGGTGGTAGTCTAAACTGTCATTGAGTTTCTGCCACAAAGATCCTTATGGTTTATTTGAGGTGATCAAAAATAAATTTATGAATAGATAACTAGCAATCTAAAACTGGTTGTAAGTGATAACAATGTTGTACATGATAACTCTTGTATCTGAGAACTTGTAGAGATTGCTTGTACTTTGGGAGTGAGTGTAATTAGAATTGAGTTTAAGGGATGGAGGCACTAGTAACAATTGAGATAAAAGAAGGAAGCATCCCAGGACTATAAAATGTCATGGGTCAAAGTATGCAGATGGGACACATTCTAGGAAGCAATTTGGCAACAGTGGTTGGATGATTCTACGATCATTTTAGAATCATAAACTTGTAATTAAAATAAACCTATTCTCTTCTAAACTCCCACTCATTGTAGAAATCCCATCTGTAGTTCCTAGCTAGTTTCCCCTCTTTCTCCCTCATTTCCTTCCCATATTCTCCCTCCCTCCTCACCTCTGAGCTTTTCAACAAGCATTTATTGGGCATTCACAATTCGCAGTTGCAAAAAATAAGCAGTAAGACACTGCACTGAACGAGACCATGCTCCTACTCAACTAGGGAGTTTAGTTTCAATCCCATCATTCCAGAGGCTCTCCCAGTTACTCAACAACACTGCAGTAGTAATGGTTAGCTCATCTTGAACATTTTGTCATATACCAGCCTGTTCTTACTCAAGAATGTGGCTTGTCTTATGGAGAATGCATGAAACACTAGGAGAAGGGATTGCTGAAACCATCTTCCACATTTTGGTCCTATAAAGGTGCGTTTTATTGTTTTAAAAGAAGTGCTCATTTGCTGGAATTTCAAGTTGGGCATAAGATCTTAATTTTGCATAAATTATGGAAGAGGAAGATTTTCTTAGTGAGAGTCCTATAGAGAGTGAGTTGGGGTCCAAAGTGATTTCCTTCCACACTCCGGGAGCATTTGCTTCTCTTCCTCCTTTCTGGCATTCCAGACATCGATTCAATAAGCCAGGCAGGTTAAGTCTTCATACAGAGGTGGCAGGGAATTGAGAGAGGCTGCCAAACTGAGGGGAGGAGCACCTTGGGGGTCACTTGGGGGCGCAGCGCTGGCTCCCCTCCAGAGGATGTGAGAAATTGATTGTGTGTGTGTGTGTGTGTGTGTGTGTGTGTGTTTAGGCTCTTTAGGAACTGAATTTGCCTTATAACTCTTCATAGTCTTTTCATTTTCACTTTATTTAGGCTAGCTACAAAAATAAGCTAAGTACAAAAATAGTGTTGGTCTCTTTTAGGAAAGGCCAATATATTTTATTTGCCCTGCTTACCATCCATAAATTATAGATTGATCACCTGTGATAGGTCCTGCAGAACTATTAACCTTTTTTGGATAGAGTTTCAGGGCTAGCCTTATTAAATGTGTTCATTAAATATAGCTCAGGCACCATCATAATATTTAAATTGGAGTAATCACTGGGTAGCAAATGAGATACTATTAATGAGATTTTAAAGTGCTCCAGCTGAATGTATTTCACACATGAAAGAAGTGTTATAAATTTGCATTTTTATCACTGAATCATGGAATCTAGGTATTTGAGAAGTTCATTTTAAGGTTAATGTAGTGTTAACTTTCTCATTTTTTGACTTGCTTTCCAAAATTAATTCCACATCCAATATGTATGAAGATGAAAGATACTACCGAGCAGAGTCCCAGAGGCACTGCCTTCGACTCGAGTGGTCAGAGGTTGAGCGGTGGGTGGGAGGGGCAGCAGGCAGGGTCCAGTTTCAGTAATTCTAGCTTTTGGAAGGAAATGGGGGAGGTAAGGAGGTCAGGAAAGGGGAGAAAATGCAGGATGTAGAATAAAGAATGCGTGCAGGCAGGCTTTTGCCCTGTCTCACCAACCAAAAGTGGTTTCTCTGGGATGGCTACTGTGGAGATTGCTTTGCAAACAGTGGCACAGCTGGTCGCCTTCCAGAGCCCAGGGAAAGGAAGCTTTGTACAAAAGACCGGGGGAACAGGGCTCGAGTTTCTGTGGAGGAGCTCACTGACGTAGCTGAGGATCGTCAGGGGTGTTCCCTTAGCCTTGGGCAGAAAGCTCCCAGGACCTCTCTGCCGGGAGGGACTGTGGGACGTACCCGAAAGCGTGTGAAAGAACAGGGCATTCCGGGGAAGGTCAGAAAGATTTTCTGTGTGTCTCCCATCTGTAATGTGTGCAAGGACAAAGGCTGTGCTAGAGTCCTTGTAGTGCAGCTACCACACAACCTCAGCCCCGCCACACACCTGCAGAGCTTCTGAGTTTTTGCTCTTGGTGAAAAATCGTAGTAGCCTTCTTGCAGAAAACTAACAGAGACCAGATATGGAACACTTGAATCAGAAATTAAGTTGGCTGTATGTGACTCTGCCTCCTGAAGTCAGATCTGTACTAAGTGAGAGCACTTCCATGATGGGGAACGAGTTAAGAGCCTTGAATGCCAAGTAAAAGACCCTTCAGGTCCTGGGAATGGGCATTTTAGTGTCTGTTCCTGTCCTCCCCAATATCGTCGTAAAGGGGATTTCTGTGACTACTTGTTCCCTGGCTCACTGCAGACCCCAGTACAGGTGAGGGAGTCTCAAGACCATGTAGGACTTTGAGAGTGTGGGTACCTCCATATTTCTGGCAGTGTTTGGAGTCCAGCTGCATTTACAAGGGAAAGGATTTGGGGTAGCATCTATTCTCTGGTGACCCCAGAGGAGGGGAAGATTGGACACTGATGCTGACTACTTCCTTTCCAACCCAGACACTTAAATCCTAGCTCCAAACTTTGTTAGGAAACACTGTGGTGTATGCAATCACCATGGTCAAGAAGTTGGTGCTGTTGCCCAGCCCAAGGGCAGCAAAAGAAAGGAAGGTGGAATCTAGGCTGCAGGCCGGAAGAAACTCACTTGCCACTAGTAAATGTAAGACGTGCTTCCCTCTGAGAGAAAACGATGTAGTAGATTTGTCAGGATTCCAAAAAGTCTTCTGGGAGTAAAATGCAATGAGATGAAGGAATTTAGTCACTAACATCCCTGTGTGGGACTGGTTCTCACAAGAAAAACATTAAAAGCTATCATTTGCACTTCTGGACATAACAGAGCAATCCACCCGCCATAAATAACTATAAAACTAGACAGAATATATGAGACAACTGTTTTCAGGTGTTAGAAAATAGAGTAGGACTGAGGTTCTTGGGAGAAGAGACACGTGAGATGAGCCCCTTGTTTGCCCCGACTCTCGGGTGCAGGACACCTTCCTGACCATGGAGAAGTGAGGAGGACCTGAGAGAAGTGGTGATCTTGTTGAACTGAGAGTCAGTGATTGGGGCTCAGGGTTGCTCAGCTTTGTGGGTAGAATGCTGGAGAACAAGCTGTCCAGAGAGCAACTAAAGGTCTATGTAGCTGTTTACCATAGGTCTGTGGTCCAGGCCTGGGCTGTGCACATGTAGGCCAAGACCCTCAGGTGTGGTGGAGGGCAGTCAGAGCAGTTGCTGCAAGGATGAGAACCAACACCAAGTGCTAAGAGAGACTAGAGTTCCATCACAGAGGTGGGGAGGCCTCGTTGGACAGCTTGGGCATTCTTTCAGATCACAGAAAAACCACACCCCAGGAGTAAGATCCATGCCTTCAAGTCAGGGTCCTACCCTAAGAACAGATCCCCAGCCCTTGTAAACGAAGACAACATGATTCTAGCTCTTTGCAGTGTGTCATATACAGTACCCAGTGCACAATCAAAATACCTACCAAACACGTGAGGAGGCAGGAAAATGTGACCCAGAGAAACAGACCTCAAAATGACCCAGAGGTTAGATTTAGCAGGCAAAGACTTAGAAACAGCTATTCTAACTATGCTTGAGCACTTAAAAGAAAGGATAGTCCTAATGAGGGAACATATGGGGAGGTCAGCAAAAAAAATAGAAACTGTGAACATGATCTGAATGGAAGCTCTAAAAATGGAAAGGACAATATCTGGAATAAAAGCCCAATCTGAAGAATGGAAGGAAACTGATTTTAAAAAAATGAGCAGAGCCTTTGTGACCTCTGTGACAATATAATTTATTGCACACACAATTGGAATCTCTGAGGGAGAAAAGAGGGAATGGGGCAACAAAAAATATATGCATTTGAAGAAATAAGGGCAAATTTCCCAGATTTGGAGAAAAACATCAGTGTACATATCCAAGAACCTCAGTAAATCCCAAGTAGGGTAAATAACAAGAAATACACTTAGACATATCATCACCAAACTGTCAAAAAATAAAAATAAGGAGACAATCATAAAAGTGGCCAGGGTCGGGGTTGGGGACACAAATTATGCAACAGGGAACAGCGAAACTATAAACTGTACAGATAATAAACACGAGAAGCTGGTGTGAATTTGTCTCTTAGGAGAAGTAGACAAAAACTACAGATCAAGGGGGATATTTCTTAATGGTAGAAGGGCAATTAATCATGAAGACATACTCCTCCTAAATGTGCATGCATCCAATAACAGAGTTTCAAAATACCTGAGGCAAAATCTGATAAACCTAAAGGGAGAAATATAAAATCCCCAGTTGGAGATTTTAATGCCTCTTCTCAGTAATTGATGAATCAAGTAGACAGAAAAAAAGAAAAGAAAATTGATATAAACAACTCTGTCTTCCATTTGACATAGCTGGCATTTATAGAACCCTATATCTAGCAATTGCAGAACATACTGTTTCCAAATACACATGGAATGCTCATTGGGCTATAAAAAATTCTCAATACACTTAAAAGATTAAAATCGGATAAATCAAAGATAAATCGTGTTGTCTGACCACAGTAGATTTAAATTAGAAATCAATAACAATAGGATTTCTGAGGAAAAAGAAAACACAAATATTTGAAATTAAGCAATACTGTCCTAAATTGTCCATGGGTCAGTGAAGAAATTGAAAAAGAAATTAGAAAATATTTTGAACTAAGTGATAATACAACAATAAAATTTGTGGGATGCAGTTAAAGCAGTTATTGGAAATGTATTGTTTTATGTACTTACAAAAGAAGAAAGGTATAAAATAGAATGAAGTAATAAAGAGAAGGAAGGAATTATGAAGAGAAAAGGAGATTTCCATAAACTACAATATAATTACTAGAGAAAATTACCATTTGAACGTTTCTTTGAAAAGATGAATAAAATTGATTAGCCCCTAACAAGAATAATCAGGAAAAAAAGAAAAAATGAAATATTATCAATAGTAGGAATGAAAGTAAGGATATTATTACAGATCCCATGTATGTTAGAAAGTTATAATGCAAAATTAAGGTCAATTAATTTGACAATTATATGAAATGAACAAATAACCAATTTTATAGAATTTTACCAACTTTACAAAAAGGAAATGAAAAATCTCAGTAGCTCCATATCTACTTAAGAACAAGCATTTATAATAACTATCCACCCTTCTTTGTCAAAATAAAAAATCTCTAGGCTCAAATGGTATGTGGGTGAACTATGTTGGACATTCAGAAGAATTAATACCAACCTCACATTAACTCAGAAATTAGAGGGTGAGCAAATGTTTTCCAACACATGTGATGAGCCTAGTGTAATCCTAACATCAAAACCAAGACATTGGATGAAAATCAAGACATTATAAATAAACAAAATTACAACCAGTATCTTTCATGAATACAAAAATCCTCAACAAAATATTAGAAAATCAAATCTAGTAATACATAAAAAGGATAATAAAATCAAGTGTGATTTATCCTAGGAATGCATGGTTGTTCAAAATTTGAAAATCAATGTAAATTAGTCACATTAACAGAAAAAAAGGAAAATTTATATGATCATCTCAATACATGCAGAAAACATATTTGACAAAATTCAGCACTTATTCAAGCTTTAAAAAAATTCTTCTGTCAAAAATTGGAAATAAGACTGAATAAAGACCCATCTACAAAAAAGTTATAGCTAACTTCATAATGGTGAAAGACTGAATGAATGCTTTCTTCCTAAGATCAGTATGAAGGCAAGCATGCTTAATTTCATCCCTTCTAGTCAATAGTGTACTATGAAGGTTCTTACAATAATGTAAGTCAAGGAAAAGAAATAAAAGACAAAATACCAGAAAGGACTATATAAAACAATCTTTATCCATTAATGACATGATTATTTATGTAGTAAACCCTGAGAAATCTATAATAATTTACTAATAAGTGAAGTTAGCAAGATCCTGGATGCAAATCAATATACAAAAAGCAATTGTTTTTCTATATATTTGCAGTAAAAATAGTAAATGAAATTTTAAAAATTCACCTTTCAGTAGTATCAAAAATAAGATAAAAAATAAATTTAAAAAAATGTGTAGTAACTGTACAATGAAAACTACAAAGCTGTGCTGAGAGAAAAATAAAGAAGATCTGAATAGACATGTAATGATCACAGGCTACTATACATAATGCTTCTAAGATGTCACTTCTTCCCAAATTGATCTATAGTTTTATCACAGTCTCAATCAACATTCCAACAGGCTTATTTGATAAAAGTTATAAGTTGATTTTAAAATCTGTATGGTAATACAAAGGATCTGTAATACCCAAATGTTTTTGGAGAGTCAAAAAGAGATTGAAAGACTTGTCATAACTAACTCAAGACTTTATATAAAGCTATGGTAATCAAGAGAGCGGTGTATTGACATAAAGACACACAAATGAATTGGTGGAGCAGAAATAGAGTTTGAAAATGATCCTCACACTTGATTTTGACCAAGGTACCAGGGTGATTCAATGGTTAAAAGAAAGTCTTTTCAATCAATTTTTGTGGAATAATCTCTAAGGGGGGAAAATCTTGACCACAATCTCACACCACACACAAAAATTAATTTGAAATTTCTCATAAACCTAAATGCAAAACCTAAAACTTTCAAACTTCCCTCATAAACCTAAATGTAAAAGCTAAAACTTTCAAACTTCCAGAAGAAAAGATAGGATAATATCTTTGTACTCTTGAGGTAGGAAAAGATTTCTCAGAGAACAAATCAAAGTGCCAAGCCATAATAGAAAAAAAAAAAAACTGACAAAATTGAACTTCATAAAAATTTAAAAGTTCTGCTCATCAGAAGACATCATTAAGAAAATTGAAAGGCAAGTAGATATTGGGAAAATGCATTTGCTTTATTGCTATAATC